CCTGCCTGCCTAGCCTGTGTGCCACCGTGGCTGCCAAGAGCTGTGACACTTGCTTCTTCCAGTCCCACTGCTGGGGAAGGAGGGTCTCCAGCCTGAGTTGCATGTCCCAGTGCACCTGTAAACAATTTACAGTGTAATTTTCCTGCTAATCAGAGCTGCAAATGCTGAAAATTTGGTAAAACAAGGAAACACATTAACTTCTGTCACTGCAAAATATCAAAAAGGACAGTGGAGTGTTAAAGCAAGTGGTGCAAATGTGGGGAAATTTAGTGGTGGGAAATGTGCGCATGCAATGATTTTCACCATTTCTTTTCAAGGCTGCTAAAAGGGATCAGACGCTGCTGAGGATGAACATAGAAAAGAAGGCCAAATGGAGGGCTGAAGTGGAGAAAGATGAGGCAGCTGTTGGGAAGCCACAATGATTGGGAACAGATTTATTTTAATGGCAGGAGATAAGTGATTTGCACACATGGCATACGTACCTGTCTTCGTTTAACTCTTTGGAGCTTTTTCACTGAAATTCTCAGGGCTAAGACTTCACTGCTTAAAAACTGTTCCATACAAACTGGGAAACTCCTATGGAAACTCCAACAGCTGCTTTCTGTGGCCTCTGGTATTTGGCACTGGGTTCTGCTGAAATACAGAAATCTCTTCTAAGCTGGAAAGTGTGGGAAGGACAGATGCAGGACTCCCCAGCTCAGCATCAGCTTTTTGTGGTGCTGCTGATGCTCAGCATGGCTGTGGGGCTGTCTCCTCGCAGCCAGGAAGGATGTGGCCCTACATCAGAGAGCATCCCGTTCTGTGCAATGCCTCTAGCACAAACAGCCTTGGCCAAAGTGACCCAGAGCAGGGGGAAAAGGAGTCTGAAACATGTTTTGCAAGCACAAAGAGGTCAATTATCTCTACCTCTGAGCCTGCTGCCATCACTGTCCCTTCTCCCTCCCCATCCCCTCGTGGCGTCCCGTGGCCAGGGGAGAGGGGGGATGTGAGCATGAAGAGGGGCTGGGAAGACAGAGGAGTGTTAGCAGACCCTGACAACTGATTTGGGCCAAAAGGGGCTTTGGGCCAGAGGAGATGGTAGTGATGTGGAGTGGTAGCGTGGGCATGTGGAGTGGTTTGGTTGCTGCGGGGCAGTTTGGGGAACCCGTGCCTGGCACAGGGAGCCTGCCCTGTGGAGGCACCTCTCGTCCTGTTGCACCTCACTGGTTTTTCATCTTCTGCTTCCAGTCATTGTCATGAAAGTTTTCTAGCATGTGCTTAGTTGTGATTTTAGTCAGGAGTGATTGTTAATACATGGTTTGCTAAAACTGGACTCTTTAATTGTCATAGTTCATTAATTCGTAATAAAACAGCTGTCCAATTACATCTAAAACAAATGCATCTCTTCACAGATTCATTTAAAGTGTCACCAAACTCTCTGGGATGATGTTTAACAGATGGGAGACATCCTAATGAAATATTGAAAGTTTCATTTTCATGAAGTGATTAAACTTCAAGACAGGCCCCAGTTCGTGCTTGTGGGCGCTGACGGTCTGAGCCCCCATGCATCATTCGTAACCCCTCAAGACCCGTAAGACAGGCTGGTGGAGCTGGGTGCGCTGCATGGGGTGCCAAGGGACATGGAGTGACAAAGCCCAGCCGTCTCACCCTGGCTGCCATAGGAGATGGCAAATGCTGTAACCACACTCAGCCTTTGTGCAGTGTCCTGAGCATCACATCAAGGCTTGGCCTTTGCAAGGTTTATTACTTGGACCAGTTGCACTTGTGCCCCAGAGGTGTCTGGAAGCTCCCGCTCAGGTCTCTGGGGTTTATTGTGTCAAAAATCATGTCCACTTATTGCTGGTGTGTCACTACATGAACAAGCTGCTGGCAAGGACGGGCTGGGGCATTGGCAGGCAGTCAGCAGTTGCTGGGCTCTGGGACTCCATCTTCTGTACCTGTGGTCGTTGGGCAGCTTTTTCCCTCTGATGCTTCTTAGGAGCACTTTTCTCCATGTTGCAGACCCTTTTAGGATGAGGAGTGTGTGTTACATCTGTCACAGCTCGGTGTTTGCAGTCCTTGTTTCCAACTCACAGCCCCGTGCAGTACAGTTCACCAAGTGATGTCTGCGCCCTGTAGTATTCCTCATGAAGCACATCTCAGGGAAGTGAAAATAATGGTCTAGGACAAGCACAGAGTGAACAAGTCTCTGCTGAGAAGGCACTTTTGTCTGCACAGGTAGTATGGGCTCTTTCATTTTACATGACCTGCTTTTCTTGGTTAGTGCAATAAACCTCAAGAATTACCTCAAAGTTAGTGTTCATTTGGGGATAAACTAAAACAGCTCTGGTCAGTCTTTTGGTGGTTTTTTTTTTGTTTGTTTGGTTTTTTTTTTTTTAATTCTTAAGTGGTTTTCACATGCTCTCTTTAAGAAAGCACATGTAACACTTAAAGGAACCCATTTTGACATTTCGATGCTCGTAAACAAATCCACATCCATGTCCTAAGCTTCCCTGACTTAAGCAGGAAAGGAGATAACCATAACCATACATAAAGAACAAGCAAATTAATTGTGACTTGTTCCGCTCTCTGCTCTGAACTTTCCTCTGCTTGGGAAAAAAAAACCTGCTTCAGGTGTGAGCTATTATCAAAGCCTCTTAAACAGCCTGGGTCTCTGTTGACTAGTGCATGAAGCTGCTGCATTACACATGGTCGTTAAGAAAAAAGAAAAATCAATTCCTCCTCCCTGAGCCACTGATGATGGGCCACTTCTGAGCGGTCAGATGACCCAGGTGCTTTTGGGCTCTCACAAAGAGCTATGACTATTATGTAGGGAATAATCCTTTACCAGTCCCGGCTACATGATTTTTCATTTTAATATCATAATATTCCCCAGAAAATCAATCACACTAATTGCTGGCTTGCACTTGGTCGGTTGCGGGTGGCTGCTGGCGCTGGTGTAGTGCAGCCTCGGCTGGAGCCATCCCCCGTAGTAACTGGAGATGCCAGCACAGGACATTGCACTGCTGATGCCTCTCCAACACTGGGACTTATCACTGCTTGTTAAAATCGGTTTCCATCTATTTGCAAAGTCCTTTAACTCTTCTCTTGAAAAGCTTCTAATTAACACAGCTTCCTGAATGTATAATTGGCTAATCTTCACCACTTTAGGGTTGTGGGTTTTTTTTATTTCCCCTCCCATCTATATTGCTTCAGTGTCACACCTGATCCCCCAGTCATTTAAAAAAGGGATGGGAGTTGTTATTAGGTAGGAGCTATTCTTCCCTTTTTAATTATGTGCTCTGTATTTCCCCAGCCTGGCCCTGAGGACAATGTGAGGGGCTGGCTCCTCTCTGAGGCAGGGAATGGCGCTGAGAGTGTGCTGGTTTGCCACAATGTGCAGGGACACCAAGGGTGAGTCCTTTCAGCTCTCACCTCCTTGTTTACTGCTCTGTACCGGGAGGAAAGAACACTTTGTCCCTTGCAGGGATTTTGCCATTTTAACGCACTCCTATATGGAAATGGTTAACAATGTGCTGGTGGCTGGTGCCGTAGAGATTTGCGTTATGAAAACAATTATTAGGGAAGATTTTCCTTAGTAGCTGGAGTTGATCTAATTTTGTTTCCATTAAAATCAGTGCTGCAGTTCGTCCTGGCTGTGAATTAAGGTTATCATCCACCATTTTTTGAAGTCTCGGTGATTTCCAGAGACTCAGCTTCTCCAGGGAGCTAGGCTGCTGTGGGGCAGAGCTGGGTGCACTGAGCTTTCTTCTGCCAATGTGGTGAGATCAAGCTCGTATGGGAGGCTCTGCATCATGAGCATCCCTGTGCCTTGGAGAAAAGGTGTGAGATGGGGAAGTCTGAGCTCAGGAGATCTCAGTCCCTTCCTTACTCATTTTGCCTCTCCTTTTGACCTGCTCAGGGGGTTTCTAGTGACACTTGATTTCTTTCCATCCATCTGCTATGTGCAGCTCTTCTCCTGGGATTCAGCAAGTCCGACGTGATCCTGCACTTGCAAAGGACTTTTTCCCTTGATGAAGATGAAATCTTGCCATTCAGAAAGATCTCATTTTAAAGACTTCCCTGTTCTTTCAGTGTTTAATCTCCCACCAAGCTGGGAAACTGCTGCATATTTTAAGGCTGAACGCATGCAGCTTCAGTTTCCAGGCACTGGACATTGTCTTCAATATGGAATATAAAACATCCCATCTCAACTCTTTCCTGTGTGTAACTAGTCAACCCTCAGCTATCGTTTGGAGATGGATTCCTGCTATGTTCAAAACACCTGCAGTTTCTAACCATTGCTTGGTGGGTATCACTGGCTTACTGGCCAATTAAGTGATTGACACTATAGTGAATTTATTCCTGTATCAAGTGATTTATTACATTAGGAGCCTCTTCATAAACAATCCAAATAGATTTTTTTGTTTGGTTTAGCATAGAATCAATAATCTAGTACTTTTGCAGAACGAAAGGATGTAAAAGCTTTCCAGACTTTTCTGAATACCCTAGAAAATCAAAAAGCACAGTGGTGATGCATCAGAAACTTGTTCTCCTCTGTCTGTGCCCAAGGCACCAGCACCTGCGGGAGCAGCATGGCCAGCCAGTGGCTGTAAACCTGCAGTTTACAGTTCCTGGGACTGCCAAGGGTCAGTTCAAAGGAGCTTCAAGGTTGAAGGTCTCCTTTGGGTGAGATGCAATGATGGTTTGAATCTGTAAAGGGACCTGCTCCCTCTTACCACAAAGATCTTTCCAGCTTGGAGCAGCCTCCTGCTTTCTCCTTTGCTCAGCATCATTGCAGCAAATAAGCACTGGCTGCTGCTGGTCCACAGGTATCTGTGGTCCTCATGCCCATCATGATTTCAGAGATGGCTTAAACACCACTCTCCTGTTTGGATTTGGCACAAAGTCATTCTAGCCTAGCAGGAAAGCAAGGCCAATGTCCAATAGTTTGAATTAATTAATGGATCGTTCATTAATGCATTGAGGTAACATTAAAGCAATTTTCCATGGTTAAGTAGTTTGATGATCATTAGTGCTGTATGATTTATTGCAAAACCTCTGTGACAGTCATATGATAAGTAGGTAGCTCCTGAAGGGCTCTTAAAGGACCTGATTATTTAATTTCTTTGCTCTGCACAGGATCTGGACACAAACCTCAACACCACATTGGTCTAGCTGGCTCCACACCTTGTCTGTGCATGAGACAGCTTTCTGCATGGAAATCTAAAGCTGGAATCTGACTCTTCCTCTGTAGCATTGCGTTTCCTCAATGAAGGGTCCTTGGGCTATTTGGGAAGGGACTGCTGTTGCTGGGTGTGTGAGGGTTTGCCAGAGGGAGGAGGTCAGTCTGGAACAGGATATCATAGGAAATAGTTGGGCTCACTCATGATTTATGTATGCTCTGCAGCATGAGCAGAGTTATCAGAAACTGCTGGGTGAGACTAGACCAGAAAACCAAGGGATTTGCATGCCAGTTTGTAATGTACTTCTCCCAGATGACGCATGGTCCTGAGACTTTTTCTGAATGAAATAGAAACCAAAATAGCCTAATGAATTAGTCATAGGCTAATTACAATCATTACTAATGGTTAATGTTTCTGCAGAATGTATGAATGCACACACAACTCATGTGGTGCACCGTGAATTGCACCACTGTTACACCCCAAACTCTTAGCTCCCCGGCAGGTATTTTATCATTGTCTAAGCATTGTCCTGCAAAAATTTCTAACAGCAGGGCTATAATCTTTACCAAGGACATCCATTAGGGCTGTAAAGGTGTCATTAAAGCAATGCTGCTCCAGGGAGGATGGACCAACCTCCAGAATGCGGTTCCAGACTGTACTAAGGGGCTGGAGTAAACCTTGAAAGGCAGACAGTTAAATATCCCA